CAAACCCCCACCTATTCCTAGCCTCCCCTCTCCCCCCTTCAACCTTTACACTACCCCTCTCTCCTACCACCCCCCTCCCCCCACCCCGTCCCCTCTCCCTCACCTCTGGCACCAGAGCCAACCCGCGCGCATGCGTGAACGGTGCCAGACAGCGCGCACGGTGGCGGGCCGGGGGAGACAACCAGAGGCCAGCGCCTCGCCAGTCGGACTTAGTACCGCCAGTGTTGGTGGGACCAGCGCCCCCTCGTCTCACACCTGCTTCACTCGACACAGACAGTCGCGGCGACAACATCAACAACAACAACAGCAACAACAACAGCAACAACATCATCACCATCAGCAACAACAGCAACATCAACGACAACGACAACGACAACGACAGCAGCAGCAACAGCAGCAGCAGTTACCGCAGAGGCCTCACAGTTTCGTCGGCTTCTCTCGCGCTGACGTGCCGGGTGGCGTTTCGGGTGGCGTGTCGGGTGGCGTGTCGGCGACAGGAGACTTCTACTCCACCCGCTACAACAACAGGGTTCGAATCCCGCTCGACTCGTTCCGCAGCGGTTACTCTCGCGGCTCCACCAACGCCGCTGTGAGATCGTCCCTCTTTCTTCTCCGACAGAACAGATCCTCCGACGACATCCGTAGCGAGGCGGTGACGACACCGTCACTGTATCGGGACCTACTCACCGGCAGCCCGTCACCGTCACTGTATCGGGACCGTGAGGCAGGGGTACCGGCACGTTCGGCCACAGCATTAGGTACATCGTCAGTGAGAGCTGTCAACTCCTCATCCTCCTCCTCTCTCCACTTACGTGACGTTTCCCCTTACAGATCTCCGTCAGTCGCCACCAACAGGAGTTACCTCAACCACCGAGGAGACAGCAGCCTCTTCAACAACAACAACAACCGCAGCAGCAGCAACAACCGGAACAACAACAACAGCGACAGCAACTACTACGACGCCTCTGATGTGATTCTCGGTCAGAGCAGGCCTAGCGCCTCTCAGCGTCACCCAACACGACACGACGGCTACTACACGACCGACTCTCTCGAATACACAACCGAAGGAGTCGGTAACAACAGCAACCACCACAATATCGAAACATCCTCCCCCAGCACCTACAACATCCCCAACACCACCACCAACAACATCAACAACAGCACCAACGGCAGCAGCAGCGTTAACTACTACAACTACAACAAAAAACCCAACCCCAACACCCCCGGGAAAAAGAACCGCGCTTCGAGACAAGGCTTAAGCGCAGTCGACGACGGTCAAACCGGCCACGCGTCAGCTCTGGTCAGCTTCACGCTGCCCGAGGATGATGCCGCCGCTTCGGCCACGGAGGAGGGACTCGCTGACCACTGCAGTGACCACCAGGAGGCGGTGTACGGCCAGTTCCACGCTAGCCCCTCAGCCTATCGCAGGATGAGCACGCCGGAGTTGCCTCCCATCGCCACCGACAACACATCGGGCAAAGGGGGTCAGGGAAGAACGCCCCGGGGGGACAAGAGGAAACCTCACAACCACGGACATAGAGCGCCAGGTAGGGAAACGTCATAAGAATGATAATTATAATAAAAGTAATAATAATAATAATAATAATAACAATAATAATAATAA